TTTATCAGTTTTTCATGATAGCATGTCAGACCACAGAATAATGTGACAAAACTTATTAAGGCAATTGACAGGCAAATTATTGCTGAACCGAGCAGAATTCTAAGCAAACATTTGTACGTGTATAAACTAAGACGAAACAGTTTGACATCCATCGGTTTAACCGGCGACGGCCAAATTTCTACTGTTTCAGGCATATGTTTAAAGGGCCAGAATTTTTCTATTCGTTCTCCGTATCATGTATTCTGTCTCTGTCTCCCTTCTTTTATTGGAGCTAAAAACTGTTAGATTACAGCTCGTTTCAGTATGACTCATATCCAATTGATGTTTACCTTTGGTTTGAGTTATCGTTATTTTTTGGGAAACGTTACATTCAAATTGGAAAAATTCGTCATTAAGTCAAAAATTAGCTTTATCTACCTATATTTACTAAAGAAATGTTACAACTTGGGAGAGAGTTATGCAAACCCGAGACACTGTCGAGGGTTTGTATAACTCCTTCCATTTAAGAACAAGTCTCTGTAAGAATCAAACATCTTGGGAAATGAAAATTTTCAACCCCCTTCAAATTTTGCATGCAGTTAGGTGCTCAGGGGGATGCACAAAAATCAAATCGTCTGCATATCATCCAGATTCCGAGTGCTGCACCTTCTTTCATGGGAATTTGAGCAATCCGAAGTCCTCTGAAGATACGCTGTTATTACTTGTGTGTCATTTAAAACATGTTAAAGTCGGCTGATCTACAAACTTCCTCACACCGGTCAGTTGTCATAAACATATACTTTGCCACGATGGCGTGACGCTGTATTTCTCCATGAAGTTTCCATCGGTCGCCCCAAAGAAGACGAGAAATGGGCATTTTTGATATATCAGCAGTTTTCCGCGCATTCTAAGTAAAAACAACCAAAAAAAGAGAAGAAAACCTTAATTGAATGCTCGTAAATACTGAGAATCTGAGAGCAGAAATCGCAATTTGTCAGCGGCAGTACGACATATAAAACCCAGTCGCCACAATAGCAATTTGTACGACTCGCGCGAAAATCATCACAAAGTGGAGATTTTGAACTACTCAGTATCTCTGCAGTACAGCAAACGGAACAGGGATTTCATCACAATCAATTTCCAAAAATTTAGCTTTTTTCAGGGAGTCTTTCACTTGCTCGAACGTTATATTGGCTTTGAACCTTGAGATTTATTCCCCTTGACAATAAAATGCTATAGAAAGTGCTTACAAAATTACAAAGGAACTATTTTTGGTGTCGCTTGGACCGAGAAATACAGATTTGAAATAATTAATGCTGTCACTGATGAACTAAATGGCACAATCTTCTCAGTTATTACCTTGATAATCTCCACAGACTAACGTTATTGGATCGAACGATCTCCTTTTTCTTCCTGGTGAGCCGGCCACCTCAGAGGAAAATTTAAGAGACCTCTGAATTCCTCTCGTGTAAATCACTGGGACATTAGGTTATATTCATCTTTCTTTAAGCTTGTAAAAGATATCTGGGAGAAAAGTATGGAAAATAATGGTGATGAAATCGCTGTTCTTTTTCCTGCAGGACTTAAAGCAATCCAGATTACATGTTAACCATGGGGGGTTTGGTTCAAGAGACGAGTTGTGATTTGCGTGTGGATAATAAGTTGTTTGAAAGGCGAAATTATGGCATTATGATATCATTAAATCTTTTATTTCGAACTTTGTTATGATTTTGCCCTTTGTAAGGAGATGCCTATGTCGTTCAAATTGCTATCGTTGCAACTGGGTTTTTACATGTAGTACTGCCGCTGACAAGGTTACGATTTATACTCTCAAATTCTCAGTGTTTACGAGCGTTCAATCAAGGTTTTCCTCTTTTTTTTTTTTTTTTTTGGTTGTTTTTACTTCAGAAAGCGGAAATCTGCTGACATATATGAAAAATATCCATTTCTCGTCTTCTTTGGAGCGACCGACGGAAACTTCACGGAGAAATACAGCGTCACGCCATCGTGATAAAGTACATGTTTATGACAACTAACCGATGTGAGGATAGTTTCGTGTAGATCTCTGACTTCAACATGTTTCAAATAACATACAAGTATAACAGTGTATCTTCAGAGGATTTTGGATGGCTCAAATTCCCATGAAAGAAGGTGCAGTACTCGGAATCTGGATAATATGCACACAATTTGAGGTATGTGTCTGTAGTTAAGTCGAGTGGTCCTCCATGAAGGTTGATCAATTTTTTAAAAAAATGACAACCAGAGGCGAGATTTCTCTTCTGGATATTGCTGATAAGATAACGTTCTTTCAAAGCCTCGCACGTTTCATTTGTCTGAAACGTTTGTAGTTGGGAACATTAGATGTAAACATCACTAAATTATGCAATATCTGATTTTGAGCTTTTTTCGCGAATTACCCGTATAAAAAGTAGAGGCAGGCCCGCAGAGATTTTTACATATTTAAAAAATAGAATATTATAACCAGGTAGGTGGGTAGTTTCAGTTCCAGAATCGGTGTACTTTTGGAGAAATTCAGATAAACGTTTTCCCCGTTTTACCCGACAACAAAAATGACCGAAACAGTACCGAGATAAATAATCTATTGGTGTGTTTACATTCACTCCCAGGGAAAATTAAATGTAACAAAGTGAAGACGAATGATGTTACTATGTATGGTAGACATGCCAATTTTTAATGTTGTATCTAGCTTGAGATGGAGAAATAAACATTTCACTCTTTTTTTGCGACGTTTTTGTATGAAAATGAGGCCCAAGGTCTCGAACAAGCAGTCGTTGTTACCTTGGCAACAAGAGTGCTACAACCTTTAAAAAGGGCATTTTTTTTGCATCCCCCTGAGTGCCTAACTGCATGCAAAATTTGAAGGGGGGTTGGAAAACTTTCATTTCCCAAGATGTTTGATTCTTAGAGACTTGTTCTTAAACACTTTCTTCAAGATAGAAATAAAACACACGAAGAAAAAATAAAATTCAAGGCTAACACAATTGAAAATGAAATATCACTTACTACATTTTCCGTAATTCTTATCATATCATCATAAGCAATAATATTACGTTTAATGTATTTATTATTCTCATTTCAAAGACGTCTGCATCGCAGACCAGTGTCGCAATTTGGAGTTCGGGCCTGAGAAAGCATTTGACGGGAAACGCCTCATAACCCACACAATTCGCACCGTAGAAATTACAGTTTCCAGGTTCTGTGAAAACCTGTGTTATATGGAGCCCGACTGCGTCAGCATTAATCTTCATACACGGGCAGATAGATATGGAAACTATAAATGTGAACTGAACAATGCTACTCATGAAGGACACGAAGGAAAGTTGATAGACCAAGAAATGTATTCTTATCACGCAGGTAAATATTACTTTCAATTTAAGATTCAGATTGGATTATTTTGTTTTTCTTTTAAAAACGCTTAGTCTCATTTCATCTCAAATTACGAACTTGAGTTGTTTTCACTCTTTCAAGACATTAGCAGTAATATTGTGTCTGTGCTCTTCACTAAAATCGCTTCAAAGACAAAGCATTTAAAGTTATTGGAGAAATATAGAAATAAAAGGACAACTATGATGACAAGGATAACGATGACGATGTTGATGACGGTAGTGGTTGACTATTGGATGATGAAAATGATTATAATGATGATAATGACAATAACAATGACAACGGTCTGTTTCTTCTGTCAGAGCAATTGCGTTCAAAATCCTTGTCAGAACAATGCTACTTGTCAAAGCGGATTTACTAAGAAAGGTTATCGGTGTCTGTGTACCGCTTGATTTGAAGGTCCGATTTGCGAAAGAGGTAAACGCAACTATTATGTTGATATCGTGAGACTTTCAGGTTAACAACAACGAGGAAAATCTTTACCGCGCTGCTTGTTAATTGGGTCTCAAAGAAGAGAAGAGCTTTTTCTGTCCTCATATAACTTAAAGCTCTCTTACTAGTCTGTAAACACCGAAGGACAGCAGGCCTTTGTTGCGGTTTCCTCACCAACACAATTCAATGACGAATTTTTGTTTTTTTTGTCATTTCATCTTGTCATCTCCCTTCTCCTTATAGGTCTTCACATATCTTCTTCTGAGCTGCACTGAAAGTAGAAAGAAACAGTGGTAAAAATTCATAAACCACAAACAAAAAGATAATTAGCCACCTGTAGAACTTTCCGGATTAAAAAAGAGGGAATATATGACTGTTCTGCAGCTCATCAGTACTGCTTGTGACTTACAAGGAGTATGTTGATCGATTCATTTGGAATGCAGTTTTCACACTGTACAAAGCAAAAACGACGTGTAGTGATCATGAGGAAAGAAAAACGTTTTATTCAGTATGTGAAGGAGGCTTATCCAGTCAGTATAGCTTCCCAATGATGGATTAAGATGTAGCTAAAACAAGTTTACAATTTCTTCTAATCAAAGGTATTTTTAAACTTCTTGCAGGAGCTTCCTCGTGTAAAGAAATTCATGAGATGCAAGTAGATTTGATTTTCGATATTATTTTCATAGTACATTAAATTTCGCGCTTGTCCGCATACAGTTTAAGCCCATCACTTCACCGAATACAGCCCAATTTTCAAACCACATTCTATATGCGAAGAAAATCCTCCTTTAAACCTTGATTCATTTCAATAGAGTGCATTACTGTCATCACAGAAGAAGTGAAAAATATCCTTTGCCCTCGCACACCGGCTGGATTCCAGGAAAAATAACCAAGCATTCTTGTCATCAAGGCTGGTGTTTATGTTCCGCAGATATTGAGGTCTGAAGGATCAACTTTTCATTAGCTTATTTGTTGAATTATTATTATTGTTATCACTCACTTTCTTTCCCCTTGTCATTTTCATTGCCACCGTTGTAGCTATGATAATTATTTTTATAAGTTCAAGCCTTATTTCACCATCATTGTTTTCATTACTTGTTGTATTTCTTTTTTTTTTTTAATTTTGATTTAAAAGATCCAATGTGAGTGGTGTGGTTACCCTTCTTGTTGACTCCCAACCATTGTCCGTTTTCTTTCACATGGGAAATTTTGGGTGTGGAGATGGAGAATGGACGCCAGTCATGAAGATTGACGGCAGAAAGGTGCATACTTTCATTAAATAATTCATTTCCTGTATAAACCCTCTTTCGCTCTTTTTCAAAACGTTGCAAGTTAAAAACGTGCATGTAACTTATGTATGCCTCTTGTGTTTCATCGAGAAGGTAATACATGAAGAACAGACCTCGTTCAAGACTTATTGTGTGTAGTGACTGTTGAAAAAGAATGAAAAAGAATGCATAAATATATCTTAACATATTTTTCTTTAATATCATGTAACAGCTAGATAAGAAATACACATCATTAAGATCATAATTCGGTTAAAAGCTGTTCGTAACAAAGAATATATCGTATCTGAGTTGAAGTTCCACGCTAGTTAATGGATATGTAGATATCACACTGATTTAAAGAGCTGTCATTGCTCATCCCCTACACAGAGAGGGGAAGGGGGGGTAGGTAGAGGAGGATTTTTGGAGGACTATAGAACATTTAGGGCCGACCAACTTGCCAATGAGGAGGAATCATGGATCATAGGAATATCACAGAGTCTTATCGGGGGATCAGGTTACTTTTATCGCGACACAAACAAACTCCAATTTTTTTTTGTCATATCTAAAAAGAGATAAGAATTTCTCTAAGGAATAACAATGTCTATCATCCTTCATTCACTTCACATATTATTATCACATCAATGCCTCTTGATTGGCGGGCAAATGAAAAAACATCAGAACGCCTTATAACTAGATAGGTATGTCATGCACTGATCTACGGTGCAAGGTCCGTGTTGGAAAAAAAATGACCTTAGTCTTCACGACACGATGCCGTAAACACCAAGGTCAATTCAACGGTAAAACAAATGAGTAATGGATCAATAAATGCAGATACACGACAGGAATTCGACAGCAAATATCCATTAATTCGGAGTAAATAAAAAAATTGAATTGCTCCTAATAAACATTACTGGATAAAAAATCAAGGATACAATCTTCCCGGAGGAGAGACTGGGTTCGACAGACAGGAATCAAAGCTACCTACCTACTGGAACACATCCTTCTCCAAGATCTGTCTCGGTATGAAGATCCACCAACAGCTCAGGTTCATTGTCATCCACAAGCATGCTGACTCTCTGCACTCACTGATTGCTGATGGCCAATACCGCGCCACCTCACTGGGTCGTGAGAAGTGGAAAGAGTTGATTGGTTCCCAAGGCTCATTACAGTACAACTGCAACAAAGAAGGGTTCAATTTCGTTTGTAGTTGGAGTGGATATTCTAAAGCCAGAATTGGTATTGTTAGCAACAACGAGGATGAGTGTGACTCGTGCAACTCGAGGATCAGATTTGGCACAGCAGGGAGACCTGGCAATTCAAACACGTGCGGTAACGAGGCCGATGTTTCTCCAGATAATGGAGACAAACACATCAAAGCCATGGGATACATCTTGGTACAATAAATATGACCCAGTTTTCGCAAAAAAAAAAAAATTATAATATGTCTAATAGTCACTGTACATATTTTTCCTGTTTCAAGCGCAACCCCTCGGATAGGGACTTATGTCCGTGTATAACTTTGGTTTTTACCCTGGATCAACCTCTAGCCATTCTTTCTACTAAGCCTACAAAGGAAAATTTGAGATACCAAGTTGAAAATTCTCTCATGTAAAACGGCATGTCGAACAGCATTCAAATATTCTGATAACAGAGGTGTCCAACTCGCTTACTTTGTCGTAGAAATTATTATTGGCCAATAATGTTTTCCAATATTATCCTAAAATTTCAGAAGGTGTATCTTTTGAGGAAGAGGTGGACGGGTCAAAATCTCTCCCACTGCGTTTGGATTGTTATGTGTATCACTATAATCCTGAAAGGAAAGGAACAGCTATGCTTTCTGGCCTAAATGAAATTGAAACAATACTTCAATAAAGTAGACTAGTTTGTTGCAGTTTTATCTTTCTTCGCCTTCAGTGAGATGTAGTTGTACAGTTCTGGACTTATCAGCTCATTTAAGTTCGGGTGGGGCACTTGTCTGATAACTACCTTAGACTTGCTGCTCAGATGTAACAATCTTCCATTACTAATCTTGTTTCTCCACCACAACACCCGTTTTACATAGCTGCCCTCTTTTCTAAGCTCTTTCCTCTCTCCCACTTTGTTTACCCTTTCGTTGCAAATCTCCTACTGATTCTCAGAGCCTTATCTCCCGTTGCTGGTCACCATTTTCTCTTCCCTCACGGTCAGACTCTCTCTTAAAATGATATTCTTCGAAATGAAAGCCACATACAATTCTCTTTTTATCGCTTTTCACTTTTTTCACTTTAGTTTTCTCCCGGAGACATAAACATTTCAAACTAAATTTATGATACTGCACCTGTCTGACCAATAAATGGTGCTTCAGGATCTCTAAAATGAAAGAAAAAATCGCTGCAAACCCTCATATTATTTTGTTTTGCCGATAACTGAGTACGAGGTCAGCACACATATTCCAATTTTGACACAGACGGGTGAATCTTCTTCTGCCCTGATTTTTTCTCTCGCTGAAAAACCAGCACTCGTCTCTGACCCAATTACATGTCTCATCTACTTCAGCCCCCTGGCAGTTTGCTTGTGGTAGCTTTAAAATCTCAATTGGTCCCATGTGATGTTTTCTTATATTCCAATAGGCTGTTGTAATTTCTTTTGTTTTGGTTTTTGACATCCCTCCCATCCACTGAAAAGCTCAAAGCCTTTCTTTTCCTATTCTCGGAATCCATTGTCCTCTACAAGAATTAAACGATTAAAAAATTTATAAACAAACACTTATTAAACCTTTGACCTCTAAGAGTGACAAGCATCTAATTTCTCTTACAATATCACCCCTGGGTCAAACATTAAGGTCACCCAAATCAAGAAACTGATCACCGACTAAAGCTCTGGATTTTTAAACTAAATCTCCTCCTTGACTCTTTAGAAAACATGGAGAACAGTGGGGAGAATATGCATCCTGGTTTTAGGGCGGAAACGGTTAACCTTGCAATAGATTGGCATCCCACCCAATGGAGGTTGGTGGCAGAGTACGGGAAATAACAGGCCCTTAGTTGCTCTACAACAATAAAAGCTGGATAAGCTCTTGCAGGAACAGCCCTTTGACTTATGAGCAGATGTTACCTTTCACATGATTTCTATTTTCCAACTGGTTTATTTTGTGAGAACAGTCACAATGCACCTTAATACTGTTTTTGTCAGTTGCTCAATATGTATAAATTGAAGTAGCCTGGAAAGTAGGGAAAGATCCCAAAGAAGGTTTAGTACAGAACAGCCTGAAAAATGTTTATCATCAATATAGCTCACAAAAATTAGAAATAAAGTTATTAAGTAAAATGTTTACAAGAAATACAAGCATGGAAATACCCAAGGAAAAAATCTAACCCAAAGTTTTCAAAAGGAGAGAAATCTTGGATTTGGTTTTTTTGACGTATATCTTACACACGTGTAGTATTGTTTCTTAAAAAAGGTTAAGAACTAGGGTACAGTAAAATTGGCAGAAATCATTTTCCCACATTCTGAATGTTCCATATACCCTTTATTCCTTGGATCGCAGCGTAAGTTCTCCTTACCATCTGCTATACATTTCTTTCAATGTTAGTGTTAAGAAGGTGGTATTAAATTAAAGTTCATAAGGTTGATAATTTTTTTTAACTCTCGTTACCTTTTGATTTATGGATTTATTGTTTCTGTTCAGAGAAATTACCCATTTGATCTCTCCTTAGAGAGCAAAGGTGAAGAGGATAATGTAGGATTTTTAAGCATCCAAATTAAACCCGAATTGCACCGGTTTTACTTCGTACTTCACCTATGAATGGTCTATAAAACTCTGGACGCCCTCTCGATCAATCAAATACAGTAGCTTAAAACCAATCAAGATTTGGTGGTGAGTATCATCCTGTATATCAGACAGTTTGCATGTGTTCAATTTAGGGTCCATTGCTTCTTTGGGTCATCATTCTTTGGTTGTGACAGGCCCCTTTGATAACCTTATTGTTGGTTTTTATTTTCTTTTAATAGAAAGCCGTCAAAAGACTCTGGTTTTGGTTTTAAACACCCCAAGCAAAGGATACAACTGACGTACTTAGATCAGACTTGATTTCACAGCCATTGATGATGCTCTCCTTCTCCATACAAGGCCATGAAGTAGTAATTTTCATGTAAACTCGTGAGGTTTCAGTATTAATAAATGTTTCATCATAAAGGGCCAATAGGTTGGAAGTTTCTCATGGCTTCTCGCTGATTAAAACACAGGTTGACCCTAAAGCTGTCCCCACTTTTTCAAACAAATTAGTAGGGATAAAAAAAAAACACTTTTGATATTGCCAATATATTAATAAATAAAATAATAAATAAATAAGCGCTCGGGCGCTTCTTCGAGGAAATAGTGTATACTGCAACTCCATACCAACTTTGGACTTGAATCAATACTGGTTAATGAGTACGAAAGTGAATTGAAAAGTAAATTCATAAAAAAATTAAGATGACGAGTTTAGGGATTTCTTATAATTAAACATTCTCTGTAAATATCTAAACGGAAAATTTGAGCCTCAGCAAAATGTTATCTTTCAATTTACGTCACCGCTCCTTGCCAAAGCATTCAAAAAGCGTTTGAGAGTACTTTTGTCGACTGCAGTAACACGCGGATTTGTACGATCACTTAGTTAGGACATCACGCACCATAGTACAATTTCACCCACCCTTCATAATGAATATCAGATGGAATCACCAGGTCAGTAGTGAAGTAGTTCTTGAACTAGCTAGTGAGGAATTAAGTAGAAAAGAGAAGTAAATGGAGTCGGATTCGCAGTTTTGACCGTGTAATCAGGATGAGTGACAACGGCTGAGACAAGGCACCTATGTTGCGTAAAGTGTCAACGAGCTGCCCTGATGTGAAGGCGCTCTCGAATATGATAGTATTAATCGCCAAATGTCACAGCTTGCAGACAATCCACCAAACAAAAATAGCTTTGAACAAAAGTTTACAGAAATAAACTGTCGTTCAAAATTAATCATAAATTATTGTCGGAAGTATTGTAAGTACGCCTAACTCCATTCCGTCAAAGGAAAACTGATTAGTCCTCGAAATAGTTAATACTCTATGGCAAATGATGAAAAACGTACTATGATCCTATACTTAACGAAGAAATACGTTACCGCCAGCCCTAAAATGTGACCATCAACCGTCAAAGATCCCGAAAATTGAATTGTCAACCGTCAAAATCGGAAAAAATTAAACTTCAGCCGTCAAAGCTCCTCCCCTCCCCACCCATTGAGATCCTGATTTAATGGTCTTCATTATGACGGTCTATTTTAAAATAAGTGGCTTTTTAAGAGGACTTTTTGGTTTTTTTTCTGTGACAAAATATATACTTTGAGAAGTGCTCCAAACCTCACGGAAAGGCATCAGAACGCATTTGAATTTTTAAATTTTTCGAGGGAGGAGGCCTCTGCAATTTAATTAGAAACCCATATCTCTAAGGTTCTGTCCTAGTTTCCTTTCCAGTCCCTTTATGATTAAGCTACAGAAAAGAACAAACCCATCTCTTTAACAGGCCGCTACAATTGGCTAGAGCCTAATAAAGAACCAATGAACCCAAGTTGTGTCAGACAGACGGAGGCTGGAAGTCTATTGTATCACCCAGTTGCGCAACGTATCGTTGTAAAGTAAAAACAGATTTGAGTTGATGCAGCACATACAACTTGAGAGCGACTTAAATGTGAAACTTAAAGCGCAAGCAAAACTAAACTTCAGTACGTGCTTCAGCCATCCATCATGTCTGCTGATTTCAAGTGCCATCTCATTTTCTTTCTCTTGCCTTCTTTTTTCACAGCAGCTAACTGTTCTCCAGGTAAATGTTTTATCATATCCTTTGTTCCGTTCACATCTTTCTTATGTTTTTTCCTTATTTCATTATTACTCCCAGATCCCTTCCACCCTAGATGAGGTGGGCCTTTATAATTCTACTATAGTAGAAATGAAAACTAATGACGCGAAATACGTTTTTCAATATGCCGTTTTTCCGAAAACGTCAAAACAATTACATCTCCAAGCAATTAGATATCTTATACATGAAACCCATTTTTTATCTTCATACAATCACTTATACCGTTTGAATGTAAAATAAATTTCAATCAGTTTCTGAAATCTCACATCAGTCACATTGTACAAAAATTTCACTGGAAAATCTTTATGACAGTGTGTGCTGAGAAAATATATTTTATAAGTCGCATTTCCGCGTACTATGTTTTACTGTCCGCTGAATAATATTTTTCATTCTCGTCCTTGTTTCAATTTATTCAATCCTTTCTTATTTCGCGTAATTTCTTAAAATAAGCTACAATATTTTACCATAATTCTCGTTGTCTTCATGATCATTCGATCTTTCTCGTTTAGGACAAAAAAATTATGACCTCGATTAGTACAAAACCT